TTTTCTGTACTAATTACATTTTTCTTGCATCTCGTTGAAATGGGTGGTTAAACTTACACAGAGTGAACCCCAAGGAACTCTGACAAGTAAAGATGCCGCGGTCCTGAGGAACCAGTGATAACGTTTATATGACCTCAGCAGCCCTCAGGTCCTGATGTCTGGGAGCAACTTGGTCAATCTGGTCAATTATGATTTAAATTCAGGTAAGGAAATATCATACCATCAATTACACTGAGCTGATGGTTCTTTTGATATGAGAATAAGGACATTCCAGGAGCACAAGGAAAACATAATGCTTAAACAAATGAAGACTGTGCCTACAGCATGACTTGTTTGGTAAATGGTAAGATTAGAAAAATAGAAAAGCTTTATTTTCCCCCTCTGGAAAGACTAACCATGGCCTATGACTAAAAGCTCAAAGTTCAATTCTACATGAATAGCATTTTATGAAATTTCCAATGGTAAGTAGAAATTGGGCTCATTAACTAGAACAATTCTACAAAGGGAACATTGCTCTGGGGAGATTGTTAAGGTTGGAGAATGGTATTTTATTTAATAGACAGCATGGACTTCATACATATCCATTATCAGTGCCTTGAAAATCAAACAACTTTAAAAGTTAGCAGCAGTTTCTGCAAGTACAAAAATACACATTTATTACATAACAGGATAGTAAAATTTGTCAAGATATATTATACAAACTCAAAACATTTTAGATAAAGCATGAGTCTAATATATTATAGGTTAACAGAGTATAATACAATGACGTTCTTCAAATCTTACAATATAATACTTTACAGTCATATTAACAAACTATTTACATTAAGTCTTACAGGAGGATCAAAGGGAACAAAGAGTGGAAATAATTATTTAAGAACCTCAATATCTATTTCCTTCTATGCTTCAAATTGGGTGGGTGATTTTCTACTCATCAACATATATATAAAGGCTAGAACCAATGTTCTCTTAAGCAGAGAAGAAATGTCTTCCAGAAAGACACTCCAAGCTGGAAGAGCTCCATTCACATCTTGCAGTTCCAACAGTAGTTTTGCCCTCGGGGTAAGGGAGATCCCTGTTGCCTTTATATATCGCAAAAAATGCATGTGGACACTTAGAGGTCTAGCTATAGGACAAAGTGGAATCTACGTCACACCTGTGAGGGAGATGGCCAGTGTCATGAAGGAGTTCTTTGGACCCAGAGTTATAAAAGCTAATTATAATGCTAAGGGCAAATAGGGCCATGTACCCCAGAGGTAGGTAGCACCAATAGCTAATACTGAAAAGACTTGTTATTTCTTACATTTTATTTTTATTTATTTTAGTGACTTTAGAGTGAGAGGAAGGGGGAGAGAGAGAGAGAGAGAGAGAGCGAGGGAGGGAGGAGGGAGGGAGAGAGAGATAGAGAAACATCAATAACATTGATTTGTTGTTCCACTTATTTATGCACTCATTGGTTAATTCTTGTATGTGCCCCAACTGGGGATTGAACCCACCACCTTGGCATGTCAGGACGACACTCTAACCAATGGAACTATCTGGCCAGAGCCACCAGAAAACATTTTTCCCCCTTTAACTGAAAAAATGCAACATTTAGGACAACAGGAAAAGAACACTTAACATAAAAGTTTCCTAGTGGCTCAGAAATATAGTTTGAAATAAGCTAGTTTGTGGGAGAAAGGTCCATTTGATGGTGGACTAAAGAGACCCAGTGGGTTCTAAGCAGCTTCTTATAAGTATCAAGTTGAAATGAAGGACGATGCACATCCTTTCCTGACTCTATCCCTCCAGACCGGCTGGCAAGACCTAATAATCAATGGAGTTAATCCAGGAGATGTACCAGTGTCACTTTAAGGCAAGAGAGAGGTGTCCATGGATATAAACCAATGGGGTGGGGTATACACTCTCTGTGAACCATGAGTCATTTGGGACAAAAGTATATAAAAACTCCTGGAGGTAGGAAAATCCAAAGCCAGTGATTGAGAAGGCCCGATAGCCACTTTGGTGGGTATTCTATTCTGCAACTCTTCATAAGTTAGCAAACTCAAAATTGCTCTCTCTATGGCCAAATGATAATC